CTTATGCTAAAGGAGCTCACGGTTTGTATTTTTCCTGGTTTATGAAATTGATTTAAGTTCATTTTTGTGCTTTTGCATTTGTAAGATTATGTCAAGAAACCGGGACACTCCATTTGATCATGTACACGCAGATATGAGTGTCCCGGTTTCTCAGTGCTCATGTAAACACAGTAACACGAACACTGACAGAACCTGGATACTGTCCAGGCCCAGGCCCGGGTCCAGGTCCAGGCCCGGTCCAGGCCCGGGTCCAGGCCCGGGTCCAGGTCCAAGTCCAGGTCCAAGTCCAGGTCCAAGTCTGTAAAAGGTCTTTCCTGAGGCTGCGTCCAGGGAGGCAGACACAGGCAGGACAGCAGGGGGCCAGAGGAGTCTGTACGGAGAGAATAGAAACAGAAACAGAGAAACAGAAACAGAGAAAAAGAAACAGAGAAGCAAAGAAACAGAGAAGCAAAGAAAAAGAAAGAGAGAAACAGAGAAACAGAGAAAAAGAAACAGAGAAACAGAAACAGAGAAAAAGAAACAGAGAATTAAAGCCACAAGCGGCGTCGAACGGCCCTCGCCCGCCGCGCCCACGAACACCGCACCCGCGAACGCCGTGCCCGCAAACACTGCGCCCCACCAAAACCATATCCTAAACGCCGTGCCTGCAAACTCCATGCCTACAAAAACGGAGAAATTACATAGTGTGCCTTTAAATGTTCTTTGCGCCCCTGCTGGCCAAACTTGAAAAGTGCCCATGTCAGTAATATATGTTTTTGCTTCTAGTCATTAACAGAATTGAATTCCCAAATTTTGTACAAATTTTATAATGTTGACATTTCATGTCTATGGTAGGGGGCGCTATAGTGTTTATTTTTCATTTGTTTTATAGTGTATTATATTCAGGCTGAGATCACACATTAGTGTTTCAAATTTCAGTTCAATCGGACTAAGCATGTGCGTGTAATATATTATTTTATATTTTTAGGTGGAATATTTGCGCCCCTGCTGGTCAACAGTCAAAAATTCCCCATGTCCATAATGTACTTTTTTACTCGTAATCATGCATAGAATTTATTTCCCAAATTTGGTGCAGATCCGATAATGTTGATGTTTCATGTCTATGGTAGGGGGCGCTATAGTGTTTTTTCATATGTTTTATAGTGTATTATATTCAGACTGAGATCACACATTAGTGTTTCAAATTTCAGCACGATCGGACTAAGTCTGTGCGAACAGGAGCAAATAATGTCACCTTGAAATTAGGCCGCACGTAAACCGTGACAGTTATCAAAAAAAATCAGCTAACTTTAGATGTTCCACTTGTCTAGATGATGTACGGTGATTTTCAGCCCTGTGGGTGAAGCGCCTTCAGAGGAGTTCGTTCAAACGTAACGTCAACGAAAATGCGGACTCAAAATTCAATCCAAGATGGCCGCCTTCTGGTTTGTCAGGAGGCCATAATAATATTTTTTCTTTGTCTTCACATGACAAATGTGTGCACCAAATTTCGTGGCTCTACGACAAAGTTGACCGAGACGTCTCCCATAGACCCAAAATTTTTGAATTTTCCAGGTGGCGCTGTGTCGCCATTTTTTTATGCCTGTGCACGAAACCTATATTTTATCGAATTTTTCTCCACTTCTGAAATTTGAGGCAAGTTTGGTTTTTGAACGTGTTTAGGGGGTCAAATTAGGGTTTAAAGAGCAGAATAATAATAATAATAATAATAATAATAATAATAATAATAATAATAATAATAATAATAATAATAATAATAATTCGAGCAAAAACAATATATCTGAAAACATTAGAACAACATATTATACATTTTTTGAAAGCTCTCGACCTTCCCCACGTCACCGTGGGGTCATTGGTGAGCAGTGTTGGGAGTAACGCTTTATAAAAGTAACGAATTACAATAACGCAGTAATGTTCGACATTACAGGGGAAAAAATTGTAATATTTTACTCGGTACAAATGTGAGTAACGCGCGTTACAATGTTGTTTTTTTAACCTGGATCGAAGTGGTGGGTTTGTCTTCATACAAATTCGCTAAAATCACCTCGATATCAGCAGCGGTGAAACACCGGAGATGCTCCTCATAGACCTTCAGGTAACCGCGGGCGAAAGGACTGACAAAGAACTCCACGCTGTTTAGACCTGGTTTAGACCTGGTTTAGACCTGGGTCAGTTTTGGTTTAGATCTGGTTTAGACCTGGGTCAGTTTTGGTTTAGATCTGGTTTAGATCTGGTTTAGACCTGGGTCAGTTCTGGTTTAGACCTGGTTTACACTCGTCCCTCCCTCTATCACAGTTCACTTTTCACGGTCTCGCTGTTTCGCAGATTTTTATTTTTTTATTTATTTTTATTTTTTTGTGCAGTTTTGATGCCTTTTGTTTTTAGTGTATGAACACGTGTTGTGTTCCTCCTGCTGCGTCCTGATTGGCTGAGGGACTCCTGTCTCCTGTACAGTACAGAATGTGTTCAGCTGCCAAATTTAAATACATGTTCAGTCTGTATCAGTGTGATTCTGAAGTGTTGTACGGTTGCAAGTTTTCTCCCCGACAAAACCCACAACGTCGACGAAACGTTCTGCACCGACAAAGGCTCCTGCACTCACACCCAAAAGACAGAGGAAGATGTAACCATCACACAAAAAGTTGGACTTCTGGACACGCTGAAGGAAGGTAGAAGTTACGCAGCTGTAACAGAGTCTTGCACCGGGTCTTGTACCTGCAAATAGTTGCTGAAATCAGGACCTGGAGCCCGAGCAGCAGAGAGTCCATAAAGAACGATCAGGTGACAGACGCTCTTACCTCCGTGAGGTGCGGAGCAGAGCCGCTCCTTTCTCCTGCGTCACCTTCAAGACCGACCAACAGTGAGTCCTGTTTTAGTCCTAGTTCACTTCTGGTTTAGTCCTGGTTTAGTCCTGGTTCAGTCCATATACAGCGCAAAAGTTATTTTGGTGAGAGTAACTTAAAGTAATGCAATAGTAATGTAATGTCTTACATTTTAAATGCAGTAATATTGTAATGTAATGAATTACTTTGAAATGACAGTAATAAGTAATAAATAAATAACACATTACAGTTTCAAAATAACTTGCCCAACAGTGTTGGTGAGTGACGGGTGCGTCTGGACCATCTCGTGGAGGTCACCCATCGCCTTCCATTGACTTCCATTCATTTTAGCAGTAGTAAATATGGCTCAGGCCTTGGGTGTGGGTTACTGGGATACTGCTGTTCGTGCCGGGGGCGACCGTGGACATAGTTGCATGTCGTCTTGTCGCATTCGGACATGCGCACGTCGCTCCCCATTCGCTCCGAGTAGCAGAAGCAATAGGCCCTACGCCCTGTCGGGGCTCGGGCCTAAAAATAAACAGAGAAGCAGAGAAACAGAAACAGAGAAGCAGAGAAACAGAAACAGAGAAGCAGAGGGAGGGAGAGATGGAGACAGGAGATAGAGATGACAGACGAGTGTGTGCTTGAAATAAAACCACACGCAGAGCAGATGGGGGCACACACTCCTCGGTTGCTGCAGAAACAGACCACAGACACACATGCACAGACCCCCACACGGAGACTGGGTCAGCGCAGACGACGCTTTGACTCTTCACGGGGTTTGTGTTTTTCCTTCACACGACGAGAATTTCACACAAAACTTTCAGAGAATTTACATTTATTTTAAATAAATACAGCTCAGTAAAAAAAAGACTAAACCAGGACTAAACCAGGATTAAACCAGGATTTAACCAGGATTAAAACAGGATTAAAACAGGACTAAACCAGGATTAAAACAGGACTAAGAATTTATGACAAAACTTTCATAAAACTTTCACAAACCCAGAGGAGTTTCAGGAAAAACTGCAGTTTCAAATTTAAATTATTATTTTTTTAATTGTTTTATTATTTCTGTCAACATTTTATTTCCAAAAAAAGTATTGTCATTTTATTTATTTATTAATTTATTTATAATAAATTAATTTTAAATATAAATAATGCTAAATCCTCAGGACTTTTGAGAACACACACACACACACACACACACACACATCCCTCCATGTTCTTCTTCTTCTCTGGGGTCGGGTCTCGGGGGTTTCAGTCTGAACAGAGACTCCCAGACTTCCTTCACCCCAGACACTTCCTCCAGCTCCTCCAGTGGGACCTGAGGTGTTCCCCAGGGCCTCCTCCAGGTGGGACATGAACACCTCCACACACACACAAATACACAATTACACACACACAATTACACAAACACAAATACACACACACAAAAACACACACATAAACACACAAAAATACACAATTACACACACACAAACACAAATACACACACACAAAAACACACACATAAACACACAAAAATACACAATTACACACACACACAAACACACACACACAATTACACAAACACAATTACACAAACACAAATACACACACACAAAAACACACACATAAACACACAAAAATACACAATTACACACACACAATTACACAAACACAAATACACACACACAAAAACACACACATAAACACACAAAAATACACAATTACACACACACAATTACACAAACACAAATACACACACACAAAAACACACACACACACAATTACACAAATGCACACACACAAACACACACATAAACACACAAAATACACACACAAATACACATACATAAACACAACACACACATTTGACTGAAACGATCCAGATGATTCTAGTGAAGGTGTGTGGAGTTTAAAAACACAGCGGAGCACTTCCTGTATCACCACCTGATGACATCACGAGGTGGAACAGATAAACAGCTCAGTACAGTGACGATGTGAGACCCTGGGGGGGGGGGGCTCCAGGGGGCTGCAGGGCCCAGATGCACCGCTCTGATTGGCCGGGGGGCTGCAGGGCTCAGATGCACCGCTCTGATTGGCCGGGGGGCTGCAGGGGGCGGGGCTCGTGGGTCTCTGGAGCCAAAACTTCATCAGAGTTTGAGTTTTATAAGAAACAGAAAAAACGGACAAGAAATGAAGCTCAAAGTGATTTTTATGTTTGGAATACTTCTGCTGGGACCAGGTGAGGACTAAACCAGGACTAAACCAGGACTAAACCAGGACTAAACCAAGACTAAACCAGCACAAAACCAGGTCTAAACCAGGTCTAAACCAGGACTAAACCAGGACTAAACCAAGACTAAACCAGCACAAAACCAGGTCTAAACCAGGACTAAACCAGGACTAAACCAGGTCTAAAACCAGGTCTAAACCAGGTCTAAACCAGGTCTAAACCAGGACTAAACCAGGACTAAACCAGGTCTAAACCAGGTCTAAACCAGGTCTAAACCAGGACTAAACCAGGTCTAAAACCAGGACTAAACCAGGACTAAACCAGGTCTAAACCAGGACTAAACCAGGTCAAACCAGGACTAAACCAGTGTAATTTCATGTTGGTACTGGATTTCTTGTTGCCTGATCCGGGATCAGATGGAAGGGCATCTGGCACAAACTGTAAGTATCCAAACTGAAACAACATTTAAAACAGAAACGTGGAAAGAGCACGTTTCAATTTCTACAATTGTTGTCGACAAATTACATGCAAAAACTTTGTGGATTTCTTTTAGTATTTGAATAAACCACATCTGACTGAAAATTTGCCTGAAAATTTAAACTTCATCTAATTTTTTAGAGTTAAAACTTGAATAAATCAGAAATGGAATTAGATCTTCTTTTTTTTTTTTTTTTTAAATCCTTCTGTACGTTTCAACAAAATTGTCAAGTTTCTGACTGACCAAAAAACAAAAAAAAATTAAAAAAATAAAATAAAAAGTAGTTCTAGTGTAGTGTCTCACTTTAATATTTAAAAATACTTAATTTAAAAATAAATAAATAAAAATGTGATAAAATTATATTTCCTAATTCTAAAAGCGGCGTCTCTCTCCGGCGTTCGGGTTTAAACATCGAAAACAAATCTGGAATAAAAACAGATTCAGCTCTAAATGATAATGTTATTTTCACTTTTTTCGAATTTGAGCAAAATGATAAAAACAAAATAAATCTGAATCTGAACAAAGTCTCACAAACAGAAAAAAATACTAAAAACATATATATATATATATATATATATATATATATATATATATATATATATAAACATAACAGTGTAAAAATATAAAAAACAATAGAAAAATAGAAAGACATAAAGATATAAAATATATATAAAAACATAATATAAAAATAAAATTAAAACAGAAAAAAAATATAAAAAGCATAACAGAAAAATAGAAAAAGAGAAAATGTAAAAGTATAAAAACATAAAAATAGAAATATAATGTTTTAGTTCTCTTTTCAGTTTTGTTGTGTTTTTCTTTTCTTTTCTTTTTTTACATTTATTTTGCGGTTTTACATTTGAACAACCGTGTAATTTTTTTACTGAGGGAAAATTGTAGCCATAACGTGGAACATTCCAGATGAAAAACAAAACAAAAAAACATCTCCAATGAGACGAACGTTTGACGAAACCTCAGCCAGAAAAGTTACACAGTGCAGCTTTAACGTGAATGCTGGGAATCTGACCTTTTTTTTTTTAATGAATCTTTTTCTTTCAAATTTTTTCACATTTTTGCACTGATTAACTCTGAATAGAAACTCCACACACATGTTTTATATTATTATTATTATTATTATTTATTTTATTTATTTATTGATTTACTTATTTATAATTTTTTATAATCTTTTTTTTTTTTTTTTTTTTTTTTTTTTGCCTCAGGACTAATCTCTAAAATAATAAATTGTTGTGAATTGTTTTAGTGAATAGAGTCTGACCTAAAACATGAACTTTAAACTCAGTGAAAGTAAAAAAATAAATAAAAAGAATAAATAAAGTCCTGACAACACACATCGCAAAAAAACTCGGCAAAAATTTAAAATCTAAACACTTAAATCTCAAAAAAATTATTTCAAAGTCGTGAAATGATGCGTCCATGCAGCGAGATCATTTTACTGGACAAATTCTCTGAAAATAAACGACTCTAGACGAGAATTAATTCAGTTCAGAATGAGTGAGTCGATCATAAATCTGAAAACTGATGGAATCACCTGACAGAGGTGAGAGTTTGAAAATCTTGGCCAGATCAGAGAAATTTGCAGTGCATCCAAAACTATTTTTCTGTGGAGGAAACAGAACTTTGAGCAAATTTGGACACATTTTTAAACTGTTTTGTATTTTTGAATTTTGAATATTCCATAAATGTATTTTCATTTCATTTATTTCTTTGTTTGAGCCAGGTACAACAACATTCAAAAACAATAACAAAAATAGTGATATATACATGACATATTTGGGACCTGGTGCTCAAAAGGAGAAAGATGAATTTTAAAAAACTTATGGAGTCCTGCCCCAATTGTTTTACATAATCACGTGGTTCACTTTTTTTTTTTTTTTTTTTTTAATCACCTTTGGAGTGCTTACCTGTCATTTGCAAAAAAAAATAAATAAATAAATAAATAAATTATATATATATATATATATATATATATATATATATATATATATATATATATATATATATATATATATATACTTACATATATACAAAACATATCCACATATACTTACATATGCAAGTACACACACTTGTACACACATATGTACATACATACATACATACATACATATACACATCATAAATATCCAGTACATATACTCGATATAAATGTTTACACACATATGTATAACAACATATACACACATGCAGAAACATATTTCCATTTGTAGTCGTACAAACTAATAATAATGTTAATGTAGGCACAAAGTTTATCGTTTATAAAATAAACAGTAATGAGAATGAAAAATGTAAGGATTTTTTTGTTTTCGTTTATGGTCGTACAAACTAATAGTATTACTGATGAAGGCACAAAAGTTTATCGTTTATGATTGTACAAAACAAACAGTAATAAGAATCAAACATTTTAAGAATTTTTGTTTTCATTTATGGTTGTACAAGCAACAATAGTAATAAAGAAGGCACAACGTTTAGCGTTTATTTTATTATACATGATCAACATTTAGTGCAGCAGCAGTTTTATTTTTACGTTTTTTCTTAATCGCTTTGGCATTTTTATCTGCTGAACATTTTCATTTGCAAAAACGCTCACATGAAATCCTAAACAGGTGACGGTTTTCCCAAACAAAACGTAACGGGTCGATCAGCTCCCAAAGCGAGTTTTCCCTTTAGAGCTCTTACACTTTGATGGTGTGTTTCTCTTTTTAGTGCGCGGCTCGGACGTTTCAGTCGTGTCCTCGGGGGCCACAGAGGAGCACGTTCAGCGTCTCACTCTGGGGTTCACACTCACACATAGGAATTTTGGAAACGCTGCACTTTTTTGTCTAAACCCATCGGTAAAACGGCGAAGCGCTCGGCGTCCCCGATTTTCACCTTTTTCACCTACTCTCCACCGACGACCCAGGTAGCGCCACAATTTACACTGTCCCGCATTACACAGTACAAATTTACAAAGTTGATTTTCAGTATTTGATCCAAAATACTGAAGCTGAAGAAAATAAAAAAAAATGTTGGAATAGAAAATACATCAACTTTACTTTTGTCCCGTAAAATATAATGTGTAAAAAAAAAAAAGAAAAAAAATCAAACAGATCTGTGTGTATCTGACAGTATGTAGTGCGCACATGTACTCTGTGTGTGTACTCTGTGGTGTGTACATGTTCTCTGTAGTGTGTACGTGTGCTCAGTGTGTGTACTCTGTAGTGTGTACGTGTGCTCAGTGTGTGTACTCTGTAGTGTGTACGTGTACTCTGTGTGTGTACTCTGTGGTGTGTACGTGTTCTCTGTAGTGTGTACTCTGTAGTGTGTACGTGTTCTGTGTGTGTACTCTGTAGTGTGTACTCTGTAGTGTGTACTCTGTAGTGTGTACTCTGTAGTGAGTACTCTGTAGTGTGTACATGTACTCTGTAGTGTGTACTCTGTAGTGTGTATGTGTAGTGTGTACTCTGTAGTGTAGTGTGTACTCGTGTGTACTCTGTAGTGTGTACTCTGTAGTGTGTACATGTTCTCTGTAGTGTGTACTCTGTGTGTGTGTATGTGTATCTGTGTGTGTGTACTCTGTAGTGTGTACTCTGTAGTGTGTATGTACTGTAGTGTGTACTCTGTAGTGTGTACTGTACTCTGTAGTGTGTACTCTGTAGTGTGTACATGTACTCTGTAGTGTGTACTCTGTAGTGTGTACATGTACTCTGTAGTGTGTACTCTGTAGTGTGTCCATGTACTCTGTAGTGTGTACTCTGTAGTGTGTACATGTACTCTGTAGTGTGTTCTCTGTAGTGTGTACTCTGTAGTGTGTACATGTACTCTGTAGTGTGTACTCTGTAGTGTGTACATGTACTCTGTAGTGTGTACTCTGTAGTGTGTACGTGTTCTGTGTGTGTACTCTGTAGTGTGTACATATTCTCTGTAGTGTGTACTCTGTAGTGTGTACTCTGTAGTGTGTACATGTTCTCTGCGATGTGTACTCTGTAGTGTGTACTCTGTAGTGTGTTCTCTGTAGTGTGTACATGTACTCTGTAGTGTGTACTCTGTAGTGTGTACATGTACTCTGTAGTGTGTACTCTGTAGTGTGTACTTGTACTCTGTAGTGTGTACTCTGTAGTGTGTACTCTGTAGTGTGTACATGTACTCTGTAGTGTGTACTCTGTAGTGTGTACTCTGTGTGTGTACTCTGTAGTGTGTACTGTAGTGTGTACTCTGTAGTGTGTACTCTGTAGTGTGTACTCTGTAGTGTGTACTCTGTAGTGTGTACTCTGTAGTGTGTACTCTGTAGTGTGTACTCTGTAGTGTGTACTCTGTAGTGTGTACTCTGTAGTGTGTACTCTGTAGTGTGTACTCTCTAGTGTGTACTCTGTAGTGTGTACATGTTCTCTGTAGTGTGTACTCTGTAGTGTGTACTCTGTAGTGTGTACTCTGTAGTGTGTACATGTACTCTGTAGTGTGTACTCTGTAGTGTGTACTCTGTAGTGTGTACTCTGTAGTATGTACTCTGTAGTGTGTACTCTGTAGTGTGTATGTGTGTGTACTCTGTAGTGTGTACTCTGTAGTGTGTACATGTACTCTGTAGTGTGTACTCTGTAGTGTGTACTCTGTAGTGTGTACTCTGTAGTGTGTACATGTACTCTGTAGTGTGTCTCTGTGTGTGTACTCTGTAGTGTGTACATGTTCTCTGTAGTGTGTACTCTGTAGTGTGTACTCTGTAGTGTGTACTCTGTAGTGTGTACTGTAGTGTGTACTCTGTAGTGTACATGTACTCTTGTGTGTACTCTGTAGTGTGTACTCTGTAGTGTGTACTGTACTGTGTGTACTCTGTAGTGTGTACTCTGTAGTGTGTAGTGTGTACTCTGTAGTGTGTACTCTGTAGTCTGTAGTGTGTACTCCTGTAGTGTGTACTCTGTAGTGTGTACTCTGTAGTGTGTACTCTGTAGTGTGTACATGTATTCCATCGTAATTTACACCCTCCTGAACTGCGTCTTCAGTTTCCTCTGTTTAAAAAAATATACTGTAAACTATGAAAAAAAAAAGTAAGTAAAAATGTGAGGTTCAGGAAACAGAATAGTTTAAATGAGACGCAACAGAATCTCGGTTTGTGAAGCTGAAGTTTCAAATCTTCACATTTGAGTTTTTGGAGCTGATTTCGCAAAAAAGGAAAAAAAAAAAAAAAAAAAAAAAAAAAAAGTTTTTGAAATCTAAACAAAAACAAACTGGAGACGATTTTGACACAAACTGATGCAACCCAAATGTCACAGGTGTTTAAAATGGAACGTGTTTGGAAAGTTTTGAGTTTGAGGGTTTGATTCTGCCCATCACATCATCTGCTGTTGTGCTCTTACGCAATACACTCCCATCTTTCAGTCTTATTTTGAAATGTCCTTTTGCTCTTTGACTTTCGACCTTTGCTCTTTTCAATCGGTGATCGTGACCTTATGTTTCTGTACTGATGGAAACGTGTCGTGTGGGAGGACGGGTGACGTGGGCTTGTGGGCGGAGCCTCGTACAGACTCGTACTCGTCAGAACAGTGGGCCTCAATCATGAAGATTTGTACTTAAGTCCTTCTCACGAACATTTTTGTCAATCACTGAATTTTTACTTAACTGAAAATGTTCTTCTGGAAGAACAAATCCGACGAACAGTTAGGAGCTATTTCACTAAACCAGGACTAAACCAGGACTAAACCAGGACTAAACCAGGTCTAAACCAGGACTAAACCAGGACTAAACCAGGACTAAACCAGGACTAAACCAGGACTAAACCAGGTCCTAAACAGGACTAAACAGGACTAAACCAGGACTAAAACCAGGACTAAACCAGGTCTAAACCAGGTCTAAACAAGAACTAAACCAGGACTAAACCAGGACTAAACAGGACTAAAAAACCAGGACTAAAACACTAACCAGAACAGGACTAAACCAGGTCTAAACCCAGGACTAAACCAGGACTAAACCAGGACTAAACCAGGACTAAACAAGGACTAAACCAGGTCTAAAACAGAACTAAACCAGGACCTAAACCAGGACTAAACCAGGACTAAACCAGGACTAAACCAGGTCTAAACCAGGACTAAACCAGGACTAAACCAGGACTAAACCAGGACTAAACCAGGACTAAACAGGACTAAACCAGGACTAAACCAGGACTAAACCAGGACTAAACCAGGTCTAAACAGGTCTAAACCAGGACTAAACCAGACTAAACCAGGACTAAACCAGGAACTAAACCAGGACTAAACCAGGTCTAAAACCAGGACTAAACCAGGACTAAACCAAACTAAACCAGGTCTAAACCAAGACTAAACCAGGACTAAAACCAGGTCTAAACAAGACTAAACCAGGACTAAACCAGGACTAAACCAGGACTAAACCAGGACTAAACCAGGTCTAAACAAGAACTAAATCAGGACTAAACCAGGACTAAACCAGGTCTAAACCAGGTCTAAACCAGGACTAAACCAGGACTAAACCAGGTCTAAACAAGAACTAAACCAGGACTAAACCAGGTCTAAACCAGGACTAAACCAGGACTAAACCAGGACTAAACCAGGACTAAACCAGGTCTAAACCAGAACTAAACCAGGACTAAACCAGGTCTAAACCAGGACTAAAACAGGACTGAACCAGGACTAAACCAGGTCTAAACAAGAACTAAACCAGGACTAAACCAGGTCTAAACCAGGACTAAACCAGGACTGAACCAGGACTAAACCAGGACTAAACAAGGACTAAACCAGGTCTAAACAAGAACTAAACCAGGACTAAACCAAGACTAAACCAGGTCTAAACAAGGACTAAACCAGGTCTAAACAAGAACTAAACCAGGACTAAACAAGAACTAAACCAGGACTAAACCAGGACTAAACAAGGACTAAACCGGGACTAAACCAAGACTAAACCAGGTCTAAACAAGGACTAAACCAGGTCTAAACAAGAACTAAACCAGGACTAAACCAGGACTAAACAAGAACTAAACCAGGTCTAAACCAGGACTAAACAAGGATTAAACCAGGTCTAAACAAGAACTAAACCAGGACTAAACCTGGACTAAACCAGGTCTAAACAAGAACTAAACCAGGACTAAACCAGGTCTAAACCAGGACTAAACCAGGACTGAATCAGGACTAAACCAGGACTAAACCAGGTCTAAACAAGAACTAAACCAGGACTAAACCAGGTCTAAACCAGGACTAAACCAGAACTAAACCAGGTCTAAACAAGAACTAAACCAGGACTAAACCAGGTCTAAACCAGGACTGAACCAGGACTAAACCAGGACTAAACCAGGTCTGAACCAGGACTAAACCAGGACTAAACCAGGTCTAAACAAGAACTAAACCAGGACTAAACCAGGTCTAAACCAGGACTAAACCAGGACTAAACCAGGTCTAAACAAGAACTAAACCAGGTCTAAACCAGGACTGAAACAAGGACTAAACCGGGACTGAACCAGGACTAAACTAGGACTGAACCAGGACTAAACCAGGTCTAAACCAGGTATAAACCAGGACTAAATTAGGACTAAACCAGGACTAAACCAGGACTAAACCAGGACTAAACCAGGTCTAAACCAGGTCTAAACCAGGACTGAAACAGAACTAAACTGTTCTCAGTCCTGATCACCCAGCAGTCTACGTGGGTGCACCTCTGGGCCCATTCCAACACTCCTGGTTTAGTCCTGGTTCAGTCCTGGTTTAGTCCTGGTTCAGTCCTGGTCCAGACAAATAATGAAGAAAATAGTTGTGTTTTTGTTTTCTCATTTTTGGTTTTATTTTCAAAAACAAATGAACGAATGACACGCGGATTGAATTTGAGATCTGAAGACCGTTTTTGTGGATCTGGGGCAGGGTTCATCTTCTTAACGTGGAAGTTACGGACAGTTTTGAAGAAAAGATTGATGAATGAGTCTCAGTGTTTCCTCTGCCCTCAGCTGTGGGAGGCTCAGCAGCGCCCTCTGTGGTGACGGTGAAAGAGGGCGACTCGGTGGACATCCCGTGCAAAGTCCAGGAAGCCGGTACGACCGTGGTCTGGTTCCGAGTCCCGGACGGCGGTAACGTGGAGTACATCGCGTCTGTGACCACCGTGAACCCGAAGGTGAAGAAGGAAGGTCTCCAGTTCAGTTCCTTCAGCACTAACAAGATCTCCACAAACACCCTGGTCCTCAAGTCCTTCAAAGGAGACTCTGACGCCGGAGTCTACTCCTGCGCGTCTCAGAGGCAAGACATGAAGTTTGGACCCGTCACGCGCCTCCAGCCAGGTGAGTTCACTTCCTGTGTGTCCGTAGAAGGTCAGAGCACTTCCTGCGTGGAATGCGGCGGTTGGAGGTTGGAGGGTTAGAGGGTCGGCGGGTTAGAGCGTCGGCGGGAGGCGTCGGCGGGTTAGTTAGAGGTCGGCGGGTTAGAGCGGTCGGCGGGTTAGGTGGCGTCGGCGGGGTTAGAGCGTCGGCGGGTTAGAGGGTCGGCGGGTTAGAGCGTCGGCGGGTTAGAGGGTCGGCGGGTTAGAGCGTCGGCGGGTTAGAGCGTCGGCGGGTTAGAGGGTCGGCGGGTTAGAGGCGTCGGCGGGTTTAGAGGGTCGGCGGTTAGAGCGTCGGCGGGTTAGAGGCGTCGGCGGGTTAGAGGGTCGGCGGGTTGGTGGGTCGGCGGGTTAGAGCGTCGGCGGGTTAGAGCGTCGGCGGGTTAGAGGGTCGGCGTCGGCGGGTTAGAGGGTCGGCGGGTTAGAGGGTCGGCGGCGGGTTAGAGCGTCGGCGGGTTAGATCGGCGTCGGCGGTTAGAGGGTCGGCGGGTTAGAGGGTCGGCGGGTTAGAGGGTCGGCGGGTTGGTGGGTCGGCGGGTTTAGAGCGTCGGCGGGTTAGAGCGTCGGCGGGTTAGAGGGTCGGCGGGTTAGAGCGTCGGCGGGTTAGAGCGTCGGCGGGTTAGTTAGGGTCGGCGGGTTAGAGCGTCGGCGGGTTAGAGGGTCGGCGGGTTAGAGCGTCGGCGGTTAGAGGGTCGGCGGGTTAGAGCGGCGGCGGTTTAGAGCGGCGGCGGTTAGAGCGTCGGCGGGTTAGAGCGTCGGCGGGTCAGCTCTGTCCACACACACGTTCGGTCTGTGGTGGAGACATTTCCGTCCTGCAGAAAAACCGTCCAAACGCTCGAATGTAACTGTGACCAAACTGTGTTTCTCAGAGAAAACAGCAGGAGGCGCCACCACCGTGAAGACCACAACCACCACAGAGAGACCACAGAACAAGAGCATCACCACCTGCAACTGCCCCACGCACACAGGTACTACTACTACTACTACTACTACTACTACTACTACTACTACTACTACTACTACTACTACTACTACTACTACTACTACTACTACTACTACTACTACTACTACTACTACTACTACTACTACTACTGCTACTACTGCTACTACTACTACTACTACTACTACTGCTACTACTACTACTACTGCTACTACTGCTACTACTGCTACTACTACTATACTAC